GCCGCCCTCCTTCGGGGCCACTGCGGGCACCGGGCTGTTTCTGCGGGCCTTGGCTGCACCGCCTGGAGGGGGAGCAGCGGCCGGGAGGGCCGGTCCTGGACAGTCAGCTGCGAGCCCTCCTCCCCGCGCCTGCCATGACGGTCCCCCACGTCGTCGCCGGAGTCCCCTCGAACCTCACGCTTAACGCGGGGAGCCCCACTGCCGCCAGGGCGCGCTCGGCTTCCTCCGCCCTCGGCTCCGAGCCCACGACGGGGCGCACACCCAAGGCCCATCTGTGTCCTGCCACCCCAGGCCCTGTGCCTTTGCTGTCCCCTCTGCCGAGGCCCTCTGGCATCAGGTGTCTTGGGGGCTCCCTCCCGTCCCTCCTTCCAAGCTGGGCTCCAGACCCGCCGTCAGAAAAGAGAAGTCTCACGGACTCCGTCCTGTACCCCGTTCTCACAGCCCCCACACCCTGCACGCTGGGCACCACCTACGGCTGCGTCACAGATGCCCCCACGCTCTGCCGTGTCACACCGCCATTTATCACGCTGGGGGACACGCCACAGTGGGGATGGTGCGTGTCTGCTCTGTGGCACCCCAGGGGGCAGGGGCGACTGGCGCCTTCTGCATACGTGGTCGTGCACACATCTGGAGCCTGATGCTGGCCCCGGCTTCCTGGGAACGCGGTGGCTGGGCTCCAAGGAGGGACGTGAGCACGCTGCAGGTGGAGGCTACGCTGCCTTTTATGAACTGGCCACAAGCGTCACAGCGCCTCACGTGCTTCTGCCACGTCCCAGGCAACAGAATCAAGTCGCTAAGCCACGGCCCCTGCCCTGCCCCGCCCCACGTTAACCCCATCATTGCCACTGCTGAGCAGCCCGTCCTAGACCACGGGCGTGTGAGGCCTTTTCGTACGTCACTGTATTCACCAAAGCAGGACTGCGCAATGGCACTGGACACTCGAGGCTGGGCGCACCCCCGGAGGAGGGCCCGGAGCCTTCACCAAGCTGGGTCAGGGGCCCAGGTGGCACCCCGAGCCACCTACACTGTACTCTGGTGGAGCAGGCTGGGATTGAGGCCCCCCAGGGCTGGGCTCAGGAGAAAGTCCTTCCTGGAGCGAGGTGGGAAGCAGGCGCTGCAAACCCAGAGGCTTCCAGGGGCCACCGTCACCAGACCAGGATTGAGACAGGGGACTCTGGTGGAGCTGGAGGTACATGTCCCACCAGGAGGCACTGAGGAGCACCCAGCAGCCCCCCGCCCCCCACCCCACGTCTCCAGGAGAGATAGGCTCGGGGAGGCCGAAGGCAGGAGCGGGAGGTGCCCTGCGGGGCGGCCTCTATGGGTCGGAGCCTCCAGTCCTGAGCACCGTCCTCCTCCTCCTCGTTCTGCAGAAGGGGCGCCGCTCCGCCCCTCGCTAGCTGTGTGCTCTTGGGAACCTTTGAGCCTGCGCGTCCTCATCAGAGACACGAGGCCCCGAGCTATCACAGTGCTCTGTAACAAGCAAGACTCCAAAGCCAGTGGCCGCAGACCGCAGTCACGCCTGGCACTCCTCGTGGTTTCTGTGGCTTAGGAATTAGGGCGCCGCCTAGCGGGGCTGCGGTCAGGACATCAGCCAGGGCCGCGGGCTCCCCCGCAGGCCTGGCTGGGTGTGTCCCCCACCAGCTGCTCTGTGTCCTCACACGGCAGTGGCCTCCCCCAGGGGAGGAGGAAGCCGCAGTGGCTTTTATGACCAAGCCCCAGAAGCCACTCTCTCACTTCCACAATATCTCACTGGTGACACAGGGCAGCCCTGTTGGACATGGGCCCTGGGGACTGTGCCAGGGTGTGGACAGCAGGAGATGCAAGAATCACGGGGCGGGGTGGGGGGGACGGATCTCAGAGGCTGGCTGCAAATGCCATAGCTTGTCTGTTTCCTCATCTGCAAAATGGGGAGCCCCTCCCACCTCTCGGGGTTGCTGGATCCTCCAAACGGGAACCACCAAGAAGAGCCAGGGGCCGGGGCCTAGCGCATACGAAGCGCTCACCAAATGAGCCTCTGTGTGACCCACTGCTGCCAGCTCCAGCGACTGCTGAAGGGACCAAGCCCCCCTCGATACGCCTTGTTGACCAGATGGGGACAAGACGCCCCTTCTTTCAATGAATGGGGACCGAGAACACGCATGCCTTTTTTTTTTTTTTGTCTTCTTAAGGTTTTAAACACCTAATTTATTCCATCCATTAGATAGATTTTGTAGATTTAATCATTTTCACAGTTGGTGGCTCATTGGATACTCAAGATAAACTCCAAATGAAAGTATAATGGTGAGGACAAATGAGTTTTCACACCACAATGGCAGAAACTTGCTTGGGAAGAGAGTTTAAGAGGAACAAAAATACATACAGATATAATTTTTTTCCCCAGCAGCTGCTTTTGCTGACTCTAGTAGGTTACCACAGTTAATTTCACCAGTTTTGTTCATCTGTAAAATTGCATAAAAGTGACATTTTTGTGCTCATTATAGCAACTGCTGATTTATGGCTGGTAAATGAAGAGCTGGTCCCTTTTTCGCGGGACTCTCCGAGTGGCGCTAAGTGCCCATGAAATTGCTTGTATAATGTAGTTTAAATCCAATCTCAGAGAAAGATTCCCCCGTTGGCCAAAGTGACATTTCCATTCTCCACACCGAGTTTATTTTAGGCCACTTAGGAGGGGGCTGCCCCAGGCAGAGTCAGGGCGGGCTGTGGCCGGCTCCACCTGCCCAGCCCAGGGCAGGGCGCAGGGACAGAGGGCTGGCCCGGCCCCCTCGGGGTGCTCGGTGCGCCTACTTGCTCCTGCCCTGCTGTCCCTGCCCAGCGCGTACCGTACCCTCGCCCTGGGACCGAGGGCAATGTGCTTGCTAAAGCATAGGCCCGGCCCGCCCCACCCTGCTGAGACCTTCCCAGCCTGCCCGGTGCCCGAGTCCTGGGGACGCCTGGCTGGACAGTGCTTGTGGGGGAGGGGACTGTCCTGTGCGATGTAGGGCGCTCAGCAGCATCTCAGGCTCCCACCTCCCAGGTCCCAGGGGCACGTCCACCGCTAGTCACGCCACCACACACGGCTGCAGACGGGGCCGGCACGCTTGCAGTGAAGGGGGTCTCCCTGCTCCGGCCCTCCCAGGCCACCTCTCTTAGTCACCTGTCTTCCGTAAGCCTGCTCTGGGCTCCTGCTTGTGTCCTGAATTACCTACAGTCCCCACGGGGACATCCTTCCTCACCTCCGCACCTTTGTCCCGGCCGTGTCCTCTGCCTGAAATCTGTTTCTCTCCTACCCCCCACCAGCACCCCAGGACTCAACTGGGATGCTGTTCCTTCCAGAAAGCTGTCTGTGAGGCCCCGGCTGGGGCCCCCCGCGTCCCAACACCCCTGCGCCTCCCGTCACAGCACGTGTGGCATTTGCCTGTGAGCCCACAAGGGGCGGAGGGTGAGGCTCTAGAAGAAGGGACGTGGCGTGTGGCCGTCTCATCACTGGGGAGGCCCAGGGAAGGCAGCAGGTCTGCACCCCATGCCCAGCCACAATGCCAGCCCCACCGGTGGCAGTCGGAAGGGCAGCATGTGCCCCCTGCCCCTGCCCGTCCCAGGAGGGCCCTCTCCCCGGGCAGGCGAGAGGTATCGATAACCCACGCGCAGAGCACCAGCTTCTGATACCGCCACCACGCCTGACTGTCAGACCCTCTCAGCTGTCCTGGGAGGTGGTGTTAGCAGCAGCATCACCCCCATTTTACAGAAGAAGAAACTGAGGCTCAGAGTGGTGCAGCCCCTCTCCCAAGTGCCCCGGGGAGTCATGATCTCCCGGCTCCTACTGTGCACCGCGCCCCTGTCATCATGGATGCTGCCATTGTCATTCTTCGAGGCTACCCTGCAGATCTGGCATAATCGCCACCCCGGTTCCACATGTGGGGAAACTGAGGCACAGCTGGTCAAACAGCTTGCCTGGGGCCATTCCCCCTGCTCATAGAGCCGTGGGCTGCACCTGGGAACGGCTCAGGGCCAGGGAGGGGCATCGGATGAGAGCAAGGGGTTGGCTACCTCCACTGGCAGGGCCACTTGTGCCCACTAACAGTAGTAGGGACACCCAGCCTGTCACACATACCCTTCAGCCCCACGCTGACAGCTCACTAAAAAGGCAGTGGCTGCCATGGTGGCCTTGCAGGTGGCCATGGCCCCATTCTGCAGGTGAGGAGGGGAGGCACCAAAGGATAAGAAAAGGGACAGAAGGAGCCAACGCCCACCAGAGCGGCGAACAAGCAAAAGACTACACTGAGCGTCTTTGGGGGTCTGGAGCCACCAGGACGCCTGTGCTCTGTGGCGGAGTGTGGCCCGGCATGATGTCCCAGGCAAACTGTCAGGCATTTTCTCCCAGCACTGGGCTGCCGCGTCCCCGTGACCCAGCAGTTCTGCTCCAGGGCGTGTCCTCAACAGAAGTCATGCATGCGCCAGGGGTCGCGGTGCTATTTGGATCAGCTGCAAACAGCCCGAACGCCATCGAGAGTAGAAGCTGGGTAGACTGTGGTATGGTCATATGACAGTGCCACACGGCAGTGAGAACGACACACTGCGCCACACACGGCCACCTGGGTGAATCTCACGTAGCGTCAGGGACGGAGGCCAGGTGGCATGAGCATGTATCGCAGGATTCCATCTTGCCACGTGCAAACCCAGGCACGGGACTTGCGTGCTGTCCAAGTCAGGCTAACGGTAAACACCAGTGTGGTTAGGGACTGGGCGGGGACACAGGGGACAAAGCCATGTCCTATCTCTTGGCCTGAGTGGGATGACACAGGTGTGCTCCTTCTGCGAGAGTTCCTCCAGCTTATGGCGTGTGCTGTTTCCCTTTTGTACTTTACACAGAAATCCCAAGTGTGAAGGTATGGGAGGAATGGGGGGGGGAATGAATGGCGACACAAGCGAGGGGAGGGGCCGGCGTGTGGGTCCTGGGGGTGGCGAGCCGCGGGGGTGGCCGCGGGGTCTCCGGTGGGCTCTGACCGGTGTGTCGTCCCGTGCAGGCGAGGCGGTGGCCAGCTCCATGCATTCCTCCCACTACCCGAGCCCGGCCGAGCTGGACGCCTACGCCGAGAAGGTGGCCAACAGCCCGCTGTCCATCAAGATCTTCCCCACCAACATCCGCGTGCCCCAGCACAAGCACCTGGGCCGCACCGTCAACGGCTATGACACCAGCGGCCAGCGCTACAGCCCCTACCCGCAGCACGCCGCCGGCTACCAGGGCCTGCTGGCCATCGTCAAGGCCGCCGTGTCCTCCTCCGCCGCGGCCGCGCCCACCGGCCCGGCCAAGGGCGTGCTCAAGAGCGCCGAGGGCAAGCGGACCAAGCTGTCGCCGGCCGCCGTGCAGGTGGGCATCGCACCCTACCCGGCGCCCAGCACTCTGGGGCCCCTGGCCTACCCCAAGCCGCCCGAGGCGCCCGCCCCGCCCCCCGGCCTGCCCGCAGCTGCCACCGCCGCCTCCGTCATCCCACTGCCGGGCCGGGGCCTGCCCCTGCCACCTTCCAACCTGCCCTCCATCCACAGCCTCCTCTACCAGCTCAACCAGCAGTGCCAGGCCCCGGGCGCCGCGCCCGCCGCCTGCCAGGCGGTGGCCGTGCCCCACCCCAGCCCGGCCAAGCACGGCCCGGTGCCCAGCTTCCCCAGCATGGCCTACCCGGCCGCCGCCGGCCTGCCCGACTGCCGCAAGGGCGCCGAGCTGGGCCAGGGGGCCACGCCGGCCTTGACACTCGCCGGGGCCGCCAAGCCTGCAGGGTACGCAGACGGCGGCCTGGATTACCTGCTGTGGCCCCAAAAGCCACCCCCGCCGCCGCCCCAGCCGCTGCGTGCCTACGGCAGCAGCACGGTGGCCAGCAAGTCCCCCGAGGCTTGCGGGGCCCGGGCGTACGAGTGGGCCGGTGGGTCGCCCCTCAACTGCGGCGTGGGGCTGCCCGCCAGCTTCACCGTGGGCCAGTACTTCGCCGCGCCCTGGAACAGCGTGCTGGTGACCCCCACGAGCGACTGCTACAACCCTGCGGCGGCGGCTGTGGCGGTCGCCGAGCTGGGGCCCGGGGCGTCCCGGGAGCTGGCGGGGCCCCCCGCGGACGCCCTGTCGGGGCTGCCCAGCAAGAGCGCGTGCAACACGTCGGTGCTGAGCAGCAGCCTGCAGTCGCTGGAGTATCTCATCAACGACATCCGGCCGCCCTGCATCAAGGAGCAGATGCTGGGCAAGGGCTACGAGACGGTGGCCGTGCCCCGGCTGCTGGACCACCAGCACGCCCACATCCGCCTGCCCGTCTACAGATAAGGCTGCCGGCGGGTGTGCGGCGCTGCAGGCCCGGGCCGGGGCGGGCGGCTCGCGGGGGCCCAGCCCCGCCCCAAGCCCGCTGGTGCCCACGGGGAGCCGGGCCGGCCTCTGCCTCGCCCCTGCCGGTGGCGGGCTGGCAGGGTGACCTCGCGCACCAAGGCCCTGTCCCACCATCGGCTGCCCCAGGACGCGGGGAGGCCCGGGGGCAGCCGCTGACCCCCACGCCTTTCCATCGAAGCTGGCGGAGGCGGGGAGAGAGAAACCACTTGAAAACGGGAATGGTTCTTTCCGGGGCTCCTGGGAGAGGGGCTCGGGCCAGGGTGGGACGCAGGAGGAAGTGGGACACTCCAGAGTCAGGGTCGGAGCGGCCCCCAGGGGCCAGGCGGCTGAGTTTTCCCACACAAGCTCCCCAGTCCCCTAGAAAAGGAGCAAAGAGGGGGGCCCAGAGGAAGTCGCTGGGCCCAGAGTGTCCCCCCACAACCAAGCCAGGTGAAGACCACTCCAATAGAGGCCCCAGGGACTACTGATTCCCCTCTCCTCCCACCCGACACCCCCACCATTCCTTCCTAACCCATCCCCGTCCTCCAAATCCTGGACTACCATCTCCCCCCTTCCCTCCAATATATCTTACAGGGCTGCTGGGCACAGTTGTGCAGGCTGTGCACTGCACAAGTGCACCTCATCCAAGGAGACACCACTTGCATCCTAAACTTGTATATTTATTACAATTTTCTGCATTTTGAGGAAGGAGCACCATTTTCCTATTCACACAAAGGCGCCATAGGAGCTAACAAAGGGCCTGCAATCCTCGACCCCATTCAGAGGGACCCTACCTTGCCTTCTTTGGGGGAGGGGTCTCCTGGGAGCCAGTGAGGGGGCAACCTTCTGCTTTTAACAGGGAGACCCAATCCAACTCCATTCCTGCAAACCGCCCTCCAAGGCCTGCCCCACACCATCAAGGAGGGGAAGGGAGGCAGGCGTCCACCCGTCCTCCATCAGGTCCGCAAGGTCCCCCATCCCCCTGTCCCCCGTCCCCCCGTCCCAGCCCCTCTGGCACTCCAGAAGCGGTACTGTATCTCTCTCCAAGGCCTGTTCAAGCACTAAGTGCATTTACAAATCTCTGAGAATGTTTTTTTTTATACTAAAATTGACCATTATATTCTACTGTGAGAAGTGCAGTCTGCACTATATTGTTTTAAAAACGAAGAGAAAGAAAAAAAAAGGAAAACACAGATGGTGTCTCAGCTGTCGCATTGCTCTGTAGCTCGTCTTCCTTCTTCCTCCCTCCCTTAGGAGTGAGCAGGCTGTCTCCTGCCCGCCAGCCGGCGCCCCGGGGAAGCAGGCCGGGGCCCTCCCGGCAGCGACTGGGCAGGGGACACTCTGCACTCGGTGCTGCATTTGTGACTCCAGCTCTTCCAAGGTGGACACTGTCGTTTACCTTGTTTTGTCAGGACACAGGCTGATGGCCACTGGGTCACAGCCAGCAACAGGGCCCTAGCATGGCAGAGACAGAACCCAGCCTGGGCCCTCTGGCCCGTTCCCACTGTGGAGGTCTGGGGGTGGCATCCCCACGTCACCAAGCTCCTTCCCAGCCACCGCCCCCACCCTGGTGCCTGGCATGTTCCCAGCTTCCATGGTAGCAGCGAGGCTAGAGACAGGCCCAGTGGCGGGGCGGGTCGGCAGCGTCTCCCTGGCCAACCCCGCCCCAGCCGGGCCAGACACCCCAGCACACACCCACCACCTGCCCTGGGGCCGGGGCCTTGCAGGAGGCCACCCCTGCCCCTGGGAGCTCAGCATTTATCAGGCGCTGACTGTATACCAGGCATTTTCATACAGACTGTGTCTCGTTGGCACCTTGCAACACTCTGGCCAGGTGGGAGGTGTTTCAGAGCAAGAAACAGACTCAGAGACGTGAAGTGACCTGCCTGAGGTCGCACAGCAAGTCGGCAGAAAGCTGGGGTCCGAACCCCCCGGCACGGAGTCTTCCTTGCGTCCCGCCCCTGCCTTCGCTTCCTCCTGGCTCTTCTCCCCTGGCCTGCCAGCTGCTCCCATGCACTGAGTCCTGCCCAGGTGGCTGGCATGTGAGTGCCATTGTGAGGGCAGAGGTGGGGGCAGAGGGCATTCGACCCTGCGGTGGGGTCGTCCACCTGCCCAGGACCAGGCCCCCGAGGCCACCAGCAGCCAGAGCCACGAGCCCTCCTGCAGCCCCGCAGCGACCCACAGTCCACGGAGGAGGAAAGAGAGGGTGGGAGAGGCAGGGCTGGGTCCAGGGCGGGTCCCCAGGCCCTTCTGAGCTGGGCCAATGAGCCAGGAGCATCCCCCAGCGCACAGGGGCAGGAGCCCAGGTGCTCCTGGGTGGCAAGTTGGGACAATCAGGGTTACAGGGAGGGCCGTGGGAATAATTATAAATAGTATATAAGTAGCTCAAATAGCAGTTGCCAAAGTGCCTTTCTGACCTCACTTGAGTCTCTCGACAGCCCTATCGGGTAGGTGGTAAAATCATGCCCATTTTACAGATGAGGACATAGAGAAACTGAGCAACGGCCCCAAGAATAGTAAGAGGAAGCCAGGTGTTCCGGCGTCAGACGCGCTGTCCAAGCCCTACCCCCAAGAGCCCCGCAGGCCCCGGATCTGGAGGGAGCCGGACTTAGGTCTCCATGCCAGCATGGCTACCTTGAGTGACCCTGAACCAGTCTGCCCCCAAACGGGACAGCACCAGAACCAGACACAAACACAAGGCGACGAAAGCACAGCGTGAGCACTTGGGAGGGGCAGGGCAGAGCAGCAAGGCCTAGGGCCTGGTGGCCTGTGGCTCGGCTCTTCCTGGGGGTCACCACTGGAGCCACCGAAGCACCAACTTGGTCACCCAGGTCCCCACGTGCTGGGCCACCCACGAGGCCGACACACCCTGGGGCATCAGGAGAGGGAACAAGGCGAGCCTGGAGCCACTCCGCAGCCCAAGTCCCTGGCATTTGGCGACCGGGGCCGAGGCCCCCCCACTGTCCCGGACAAACCTCCCGGTCCTCTGCAGCTCGGGTCTGTGCCTGGCGGGGAAGGGCACACGGCACGGTCTGCGTCCAGCCCCGGCCCCAGGGGCACAGCTGGGGCCTATCCCTGTCCCAGCACTGACTCCCTGTGTGCCTTGGCCAGGCTCTTTCTCCCTGGGCCTCAGTTTCCCCATCTGGGAGCTGAGCTGCTCCAGCACAGCCATTCCAGCATGCGGTACTCCAGCCCTTTCTTCATGCACTCACCTTTGATGGCCACACTGGCGGGTCAGGACAGGTGACAAAAGCAACATGACCACCACTGCTGTAAGCACCAAGAGCCTGAGTTTCCGCAGGCAGGCGGGGTGGGGACGCGGGCTGGGTGCTGAGGCTACTTGGTCCCCGCGGCCTCTCTGCACAACAGGGCGGCAGGTGCCCGCGGTATTACCCACGCGGCGGACGAGGCCCAGCGCCGGCAACCGCCTCACCTGCGAGGCGTCCCGCAGCTGAGGCTGGAGGCCAGAGCAGCACTGGGAGAGCACACACCTGACTCCGACCCTGGGCGTGTAACTGCGACACTTTGCAGAGAATGTGCAACTGCCAACCGCCAAACGTGGCCTGTTTGGCTCCGGGACCCAGGCTCGCCTTCGGGTCCCACGGCCCGGCTGCCCACACCTCTAAGTCTCTCTGGTGTGACCAAGGGAGGGCCTCCTGCCCTCAAGCGACGCCCCGTGGGGCTCACACCCCCTAGATCGCGTCCGTCGCTTCCAGTCGCAGCAAGCAGTAGTCGGTCGGCCCAGGCGAGAGGCAGGTGACCCTACAGAGCCTGCAGAGCTGCCCGCAGGGCTGCGGCCCGACGTGGGTGGAGGGGCCGACACTGGCGGACACTCACCTTTCCGGGGCGGCTCTGTGTCTCCTCCACTCGCTTCCCTGTCCTGAGCTCACTCCCGCGTTTCCAGGAAGGGGAAGCTGACACCAGTTCGAACTCCACAAGTTGACCCCAAAACAGCGACTTCGCACCCGCGGCCAGGAGCGCGCGCCGGCTCGTACAAGCGCGCCCGCGTCCCACTGCGCCTGCGCGCCGGAGGCCCCGCCCCCGCCCCGTGCTGGGCGCCGGAGGCGGCGTCTGGCCGGCGGGGTAGGACAGCCACCAGTTGCATGAAAGGGCTTCTGTTTACATTGCCACCGCCACCAGCAGCAGCTCGCCACAGTGGCAGGGGAAGGGGAGGAGCAGGAAAAACTGGCCTCAGTATCCCACTGACCCCCCTGTGAGACCCTGGGCGACTGGTGTGGCTTCTCCAAGGAGCCTCAATCTCCGGGTCTGTCAGAGGGACTGGTGGCGCCTGCAGGACCGGGATGGCATCACCAGACGTGAGGTCAGGCTCAGGCAGATTAGTCCTATAAGAGGGGTCCCCTCAAGAGTGCAGAGGGACCCAGCGGTTTGAGGGGCAGACCCAGCAGGAGCACGTGGCGTCAGGCAGGTGATCACCCCTCTCTGAGTCACCTGTTTCTCAGCCACAAAGTGAGGCTAATATTTCGAAGTATGTCCCGTGGAGGGTTCAACCTAGGCGAAGGGTGCTTGAATCCCCTCGGGGGTGGAGAGCTATTGAAAAATGCACAGTAGAGTTAGGAGTATTGTCCCTGTCACCGTCTAATCCAGCTGATTTCCAAGTCCCCTTGGGAAGCAGGTTTCCCAGTCACCAGAGGGTGAGAAACAGGTGCATGGGCCCCTCTTGGAGACACACAAATCATCACACTACCATATCACAGACGAGACGCCCACCTTTGACCTTTCACCCAGCATTTCCCTAACTTTTTTTTGACCCCTTAAACTTTTTTTTGACCCCTTGGAGTGTTTAACACTCCAAGGAACAAACAGGGCGTCGTTAAATGCTGAGTCTTTCCTCTTGTGTTGCAATTGGGGGCGCTGGGCCAGTCCCCTCACCTCTCTGGGCCTCGTTTTCCCCGATTGCAACACGAGGACTTACACCGTGGCAGGGCACAGAGCACCCAACCCTGAACCAGAGTCGCCTGGGGCTCATTTCTGGGGCCGTCGCATCCCAACTGGTCTTTGTCCACCGCGGTGAACTAGGCACACAGGAAGGGGAGGACATTCAGGGAGACAGAGGAAGCCCACATTTGAGAAGTGGGGATGAGTACCCCTAGTTTGAAGCTGAGGTTCAGAGGGGGGAGGCAGCCTGCCTGAGGGCACACAGCACCTTGGTCCTAAACCCTCCAGAGGCAAGGCTAGGCTCCCTACTCTCCTTCTCGGGGCTGGGGGTGGGGTATTTCCTGGGTGAAGGCTCTTGCACCCTGTCCCAGTATACAAGTTGTCCTTATCGTGCCTCGGAGGCTCCTGGGTGTGACCACAGCGGCACCTGGTGGCCAATCTTCAGAATCTCAGCAGCCCCACCCTGTGCCGGCCAAGGGCAGGTCTGTGGGATCCAGCGGGGGTGCCCCCAATAGGAGGGCTGCTGAGAGCAAGGGGGGCTTTCTAATGTCACTAAGGGCCTTGAAACGCTGTGAAGACCCTAAGCTGAGATATGCGGCCCTGGGTTGGGCTCCAGGCCCCCTCGACCTCTCCTGTCCTTCCTTACCTGTCAGAAACCACTGCTGCCTGCTGCTAACGGAGAAATGGAACATGCTTTGGAATGGCCAAAAACACTTAAGTAAAAAAAAAAAAAAATCCTGCCACCCCCTAGAAAGAGTCTCCTCCTAAGAGGGTTCGAATCCTGGCTCTGCCACATTCAGTCTGTCTGTCCTTAGACGTGGATATTTACTTCATTTGGTCTCACTTTCTCCATCTGTAAAATGGGCATAAAATGAACATTTACACTTGTATTTTCAAGGTTTTGACCAAATAACAGAAAATCCTGACTCAACTGGTTTAAATGAGAAAGAAAATTTATTATCTTGAATAATCACAGGAAGCCCTAAAGTAGGGTGGCCCCAGGGTTGGTTCATTCAGCCATGCAATGGTGTCATTAAGGACCAATGTCCTTTTCATCTTTCTGTTCTGTTAAACCTCTCAGGGCCACAAAATGGCTGCCACACTTCCAGACATTGCATCTAGACCTGACTGTGATTAGCAAAGGAGAAGACAGTCTTTCCCAGAATTCCCCTCACCCCCCACTGACTTCCCCTCTTATCAGATGGGTGAAGACACTGAGGCCAAGGGCTACTGCCATACCAATACCTAGTAAGGAAAAGCGTCGTGGTGGTTGGCTCAGGGAAGCCCATGGCTGCGCAGGGCGGACTAA